ACTATTCAGCTTTAATACAAATAATTTATTTTGTTGTTAACTATAGCCAATTTCGAGATATTATACTAAAAGTAAAATGTTGATTTATTTTTTAAAATTTTGTTAACTAAATTTTCAATTCAATCTATACTTTTATCAATACTAAAAACCGAAAACTAAACTAACATAATTCCTTCACTATTTAGCTTTAATGCCGAAATTTTAATTTGTTTGTAACTACAGTGAAAATCGTGTTATTTAAAAAAAATATAAATTAATTATTTTATAAATTAACTTCAAATTAATTAATTATTTGCAAATTAACTAAGATTCTCCGAGAAACGTTTTTATACTCAATTTCTTCCTTAATTATTCAGCTTTAATACAAATAATTTATTTTGTTGTTAACTATAGCGGATTTCGAGATATTATACTAAAAGTAAAGTGTTGATTTTTTTTAAATAACTTAAAATAATAAATTTGCATTTTTTATCAACACTATAACCGAAAACTAAACTAACATAATCATTCACTATATATTTAGCTTTAATTCCGAAATTTTAGTTTGTTTGTAACTACAGTAAAAATCGTGTTTTTTAAAAAAATATATAAATTAATTATTTTTTTTAATATAAATTAACTTCAAATTAACTAATTATTTGCAGATTAACTAAGATTCTCAAAGAAACGCTTTTATACTCAATTTCTTCCTTAACTATTCAGCTTTAATACAAATAATTTATTTTGTTCTTAACTATAACGAATTTCGGGATATTATACTAAAAGTAAAATGATGATTCATTTTTTAAAATTTTGTTAACTAAATTTTCAATTCAAACTATACTTTTATCAATACTAAAAACCGAAAACTAAACTAACATAATTCCTTCACTATATATTTAGCTTTAATGCCGAAATTTTAATTTGTTTCTAACTACAGTGAAAATCGTGTTATTTAAAAAAATATAAATTAATTATTTTATAAATTAACTTCCAATTAATTAATTATTTGCAAATTAACTAAGATTCTCAAAGAAACGGTTTTACACTAAATTTCTTCCTTAATTATTCAGCTTTAACACAAATAATTTATTTTGTTGTTAACTATAGCCAATTTCGAGATATTATACGAAAAGTAAAGTGTTAATTTTTTAAATTCGTAAAATAATAAATTTGCATTTAATAAAGCTTTAAACTACACTTTTATCAACACTATAACCGAAACATAATTCCTAACATAATTCCTTTACTATATATTTAGCTTCAATTCCAAAATTTTAGTTTGTTTCTAACTACAGTGAAAATCGTATTATTTAGAAAAAAATATAAATTAATTATTTTATAAATTAACTTCAAATTAATTCATTATTTGCAGATTAACAAATATTCTCAGAGAAACGTTTTTATACTCAATTTCATCCTTAATTATTCAGCTTTAATACAAATAATAACGTCGGTGATTGCGTTATTTTTTTTAAATGCAAGTTTCTCCAAAACTCAATTTAACATTTTCAAATTGGTTCTGCGCAAAAAGTCCATCAAATTAACGTTTAAATTATGACTTGAATTGACATTTCTTGTATTTAATGTCAGATGATTTTCTCAGAGAAACGTTTTTATACTCAATTTCTTCCTTAACTATTCAGCTTTAATACAAATAATTTATTTTGTTGTTAACTATAGCGGATTTCGAGATATTATACTAAAAGTAAAATGTTGATTCATTTTTTAAAAATTTGTTAACTAAATTTTGAATTCAAACTATACTTTTATCAATACTAAAAACCGAAAACTAAACTAACATAATTCCTTCACTATATATTTAGCTTTAATTCCAAAATTTCAGTTTGTTTCTAACTACAGTGAAAATCGTATTATTTAGAAAAAAAAAATATAAATTAATTATATTGTTTCCATATAAATTAACAAATTAATTAATTATTTGCAGATTAACAAATATTCTCAAAGAAACGGTTTTATACTCAATTTCATCCATAATTATTCAGCTTTAATACAAATAATAACGTCGGTGATTGCGTTATTTTGTTTAAATGCAAGTTTCTCCAAAACTCAATTTAACATTTTTAAATTCAAAAAATCCATCAAATTATCGTTTAAATTATGACTTGAATTGACATTTCTTATATTTAATGTCAGATGATTTTAGTCTTGATTGAATCCGATAAATACGAAATGAAACTGATTTCACGGCAGACAATGACTTCTTCTAGTCGATGAACTCACCGAACGATTTGGAGGCCTGCCGCTTGTACATCTCCAGACAGGACTTCCGATGGACCATGCGGTGCGTGACGGCCTGATATCGCTTCTTGAAGTCGTGCTCGGATTCCGTGCTCTCCGCACTCGAAATCGATTCCCTCCGATGCATCTCCTCATCTGGAAAATATCCGAAAATACCTTCCATGATTGTATCACTTTTTTTATGAGTATACATCGACATTTTCATTCAAACCGATTCCTTTGTATGTTACCTGCAGATGCCGGTCTGCTCCACGTCTGCAGCTCGTCGTGATCATCGATGTAGATCCAATTACTGTCTATGTACGGCGTATTGTAAAGTCCGAGATCGTCTTCGTCGTCTGGCGCTGCGGGAAGAACGCTCGGACTCGAATCCGTCGCCCTCAAACCTTCCAAACTCGCGTCCCTCGATCTCGCCATCGGCCTCAACTTGCTCTTACCGTTCTCCACTTTAGCACCTCTCTCCTCAGACTATCGCAAACAAAAAAAACCATTAAATTAATATATAATATAGTTAATAGATAAAATGAATCAACCTTGGCTCTTAAGTTATCCGGTCTGTATCTGTGATGTCTGCGATCGCCGTGACCACGATCCTCCGATCTGTACCGTTTCTCGAACTTCTTGAACAACCTACCAGGTGGATGTTTCGTGCGAGGGGAATCCGCGAATCCAGCTGGCGGTTGCACGATGTCCGGCTGACTGGAGCTCTTCTCCAAATCATCGGTGGTCACTATGTCCACCTCTTTGCCGCAATGCAGACAATGCACGTGCTGATCTGAAGGAATTGCCGCGTGGCTACTGGGATCGCTGTAAAACACGCTATCGCTACCCGGACTTACTGATCGCAAAGATTCAGCGCTCAAAGCCTTCAGCTTCGCAACGTCCGAGCATTTGGGTTTAGTCGGAGAGACGTCAGGGCTTAAATCAATTAATTTTTCTTTTTAAAACGAATTATTTAAAATGAGATTATTACCTTTTGTGCGAATGCAGACTCTGCGTATCGTCTTGCGCGATGCTTCGTTGAATCGTCTTCTTTCTAGGGAAAGTCATCGGTTTATCGTCGATGCTGCCGCTCCTTCTGCGTCCTTTTCCACCAGTCGGAGATCTCGGCGATTTGCGTCCCTTCTCGCGCATCTTCTTTCCCTTCCTCGGTGATAACTTATCGTAATTCACTGAATCGTCCGATGTGAGAGGTTTACGTTCTTCGGTGCGGCTTTCCCATTCCATCTGCTGGACTTCTGGACTTTTGTGCAGAGGCGATTTCTTCTGCGGTATCTTCCGATGCGGCTGCATAGGACTACGCGTACGGATGCGTCTCTGCTTCGGTTTATCGTTGGGCTTCAGCAGCTCTTTAGATGGTGATGGTTTGCTGAACGACGATCGCGGTTTCTCTGTTTCCTCCTGCTGTTTCGTCACCTCCAAAGTGTACTGTTTCTTCCTGCGCGTTATCTCCTCCTCTGTCCAGTCTTTTCGATCGGAACGCGAAGATTTCCACGTGGCGCTGCAAATTCAATTAAAATTTGTATTTGATTTATAATGGTTACTTGAATTACGCACTCATCTTCCAACGGTGAATCGTAGTATCCGGAGGAGGAGCAGAGCGCGCTTCGATCGTCTTCGGAAACGGATGGTACTTTTTTCGGAGAAGGCACTGGCGGTCTTTGTGGCAGTTCGGGACAGGAGCCGTTCAGGCTGTAACTACCGGAGGAAGAGCTGCTTCCCGTTGGTGAGGAGCGACCGGTGCGAACTACGTCCGGTACAGGAGTCGGGGTCAGTTCGCTCGCTTCTTCTGGGATGGGTGGTGGTGAGAACGATGGTACGACCATGTCGTCGGTGAGGAAATCGGCTTTGGTGAGGCTGTAAATCGAGGAGGCGCTCTCGAACGAACTTCCATCGGGGGCGGCGGTGGTGGTCGCAGCCGACGTCGATGGTATGGCCGCACGAGAACGACCCTTATCGGAACCCTCGAAACGAGAACGATAAAACAGAATATAGAGCTTAATCGCTCTCCGAAGGGAATTAAGATAAATTAATCGCTACTACACAAATCCTCGAGTGCAAAGAAAAAGAACAATCTGCATGCAATCCGAATGCAATAATTAACTCACTTGGACGTTCTCAACTTGCAAAACTAAATCGAACTCCAGCCACACTTTAATATAATAATTAAAAACATCTGTCCTTTCATATCCATTAAAACATATTACGTTAATTTGCAAATAAACTTGATAATGTAATTAAGGAAATGCGCTGCAATGTAATATTCCGTTTCTGGTTCTCTTCGCTGCAATTTGATGAAATTCCGTTACTCATTTAAATTGGATCAAGTCGTATGTTGAGCAGCTACAGCTGTGGTTACTTGAAAAGTTATACAAGTTGCCATGGAAATAAAGTATTTGTTTCTCATCTTTTTTTTTGGGAAAATAATCAATTTACTGTCTCGTTGCAAAAATATGAAATAAAATTATTAAAAAAAATCAAAAGTTAATTATTTATATAAATTGATTCTATTTTAACGTTCATTATTTGTCAGTCAAATATGTATTAGGTTAGATTGTTAATTGACTTATGTCATTTTAACATAGGTTAGATTGTTTCAAAGTTGCGCATTTTCGTTTGAATTATGTGTTTATTAGGTTAGGTTGTATGGGTTCATGTCAGAATAGGTTAATTTATATTATGCTTTATTTAAAAAATAATCAATTAAAACATAAAAATACGCAAGAAAAATGTAGGTTTTGAAAAAAAAAAATTAAATTTTGTTATGAAAAAATGTACAAATTAGTTAATTAAGAGAATATATAAATTGAGACATTAAATTCAATTAAAATGCAGGCATTCAGTCAGATGTTCAATTAAAATGCAGGTGTTCCTGAAAAGTTAAGCATCGAAAAAGCAGTGTCTTTAATTTTTAGAGATTTCCTCCACATCCACGAATGACTGAAATATGATTAAACACGTATGCTGAAGATAAATATTCAGGGAATATAGGCATAATTGTATCTCTTCCAGATTTCTTGTAATTAGCAGACAAAGTTGAAAAAGGAAAAGTTAAGCTTCAAAATATATTAACGCAGGTGTTCAATTAAAATGCAGGTGTTCACTCAGGTGTTCCTGCAAGTGTTTCATTGTTTGTTTTCTTAACTTTGCACGTGCATTGACGAATGCACGTGCGATGTCTCGCGTGGAGCATATCAAGTGGATCCGTGTCAGTGTTATGCAAATGTTTGGTGCACTTACCCTGAGCGATGTGCTCCTCCTGGAACTATCAGTCGAATTGGCAGTGATGTAGTCGTCTGTGGTGGTGCTTTCAGAGACGTCCGTGTTCGTTTTACCAGAGTCCGTGCGCGCTAAAATGATGTCGGGAACGACGGCAGGAAGAGGCGATTCCGATGATGGTCTTGAAGTCGTCGTCGTCGCCGAAGATGATGATGCAGTTGCTGAAGTAGCAGCAGCGGCGGCCGCAGCAGCTGCAGCCCTCTTCGCGCTCAATTGCAAATAATGTCTACTACCGCTAGGTTGCTCAGGCCCTTTTACTGATATGCTCGGCGTTTCTAAATCTAAATGAGCGATGCTCGGACTCCCTCCTACCTGCAAATTCATACACCAATAACATTCTCTTTTTTCTCTTCAAATTAAAAAAAAACGCACTTGTAATTGGTCCACAAATTCTTCATCTAAAGCTTCGGTGTCTATAGACGATCGCTGTTGGTGTTGAAGCATCAGCAGATGCTTCCTCCTCGAGGACGGCGTCAGCAGCTTCACGGAAACCGGAGAAGTCGCAGAGAACGAGGCCATGTCCGAAGTGCTCAAGGCCGTTCCGTTATCCGTACCGGAATCGGCCTGAAGGACAGTAGCCTGAGACTCGTTCCAAATACCATCCGAATGATCCCTTGGATAAACGTAAAAGAGAGCATTTAATTCAGATGAGTGCAGTTGATTAATAATACTCGGGGATGGAAAGAAGGAAGGAATGAAAAGATAAAAGGGAGAGCCCTTAACGAGCTCGACATAATTAGCTCACACTGGAACGCAACAGTTTTACTACGGATAAAACATGGATTCATCAATTGTCCCTCATTCGAATCCTCGTCGCAAGAAGTGATCCGTCTCATTTGCATTTCCCTCATCGAAAAACGCTTTATCGACTTTCCCAGTATTAAAATATAAATTGGTTTCCGAGCATTATTGGGCCTTAAGACAAGTAAAATCCCTTAAAAAGACACCTTTTTTTTTCAATTTACATACAATTTCAAATATAATGAAAACTTAATTGCTATAGCCTAATATCCGCATAAAACACATACAAACATTCACAACTAAATTTAGTTTGAATTTTTTTTTACATTTTACAAATCGTCATTTCCATTTCACCTCATTCGAAATCCGTTCATATCAAATTACATAATCATAGAAAATGCATCAATAAAATTGAATTTTCTATAAAATTATTTTGTTAGAAAAATGTATTTCATTAATAAATCTAAAAAAAAAAAATGAAATTCTAATTAACGCCATTAGATGTCGCCCTTTAAATCACCATCTTCATTTTTTTTGTTTGAATCGGGTGCGCAAACAAACACAGCCTATTGCGATATTTGCATTTCAAAACTTTCGCTCCACAGCATTCGCAGATAACGCTCCCAAAAAAAAAAAACAACAAATATTACAAACAAACATAAAACGAAAAGTGATGAAGAGAACACACCAATCTGATTCATCTGTCTGTCTGTCAATAATAATATTTTTTGTTTCCACTCCACGTTTACACTGGATTTTTGTTCTCTGTGTGTTTGTCTGTTTATATTTGTGTATTCGTTTCAATAATTTGCTGCTGTTCCCGAGTTTCGTTCAGGGGGAAATAGATGCAGATTGAAAATCTTTGTTCACAATTTTTTATTTTTTTTTTAGAAAAATAATTGGAAATGGAGAGGCAAAGAACACGAAATGCAAGGTACTTTTCATTGAATGTTCAATAACTATTGCACAGATTCCGAACGTTAATTAGAGAGCAAACTATCAAAGAAACATGTAAGCAGATTAGGCTTTACGTGCACTGGTTAAAGCAGTGGTTTCCAAACTTGATGTTACTACGCCTTCCTCCATTTCATAAAAGGATTTTTTCAACTTTGAACGTGTATTACAGCAATATGAATAAGAGCACAAGAATGTATCTATACTTGCAGGATTCCCCAAACATTCAGCTTTCATATGCATATATTGGATTCATTCTATCTATTATAGTTTTTGAGTAAATCAATGAAATGTGAAAACATTGCTTTTTCGAACGTTCTCATTTCAATTTTTCAAATTTGAACGCGTATTACAGCAATATGGAAAAAAGCACATGAATGTATCTATACTTGTTGGATTCCCCAAACATTCAACTTTCATATGCATATATTGTATTCATTCTATCTATTATAGTTTTCGAGTAAATCAATGAAATGTGAAAATACTGCTTATTCGAACGTTCTAATTTCAATTCTTCAACTTTGAACGCATATTACAGCAATATGGATAAGAGCACAGGAATGTGTCTATACTTTCTGGATTCCCCAAACATTCAGAATTCATATGCATATATTGGATTCATTCTATCTATTATAGTTTTCGAGTG